TAGATCGAATCGATTTCGAAGCTCCGTTGAAGATTCAGTGATTTCCAGCGAAGATTCAGATATTCGAAGCTCCATCGAAGCAATTTCGAAGCTCCAGATCAGACCGATTTCGAAGCTCCGTTGAAGATTCAGTGATTTCCATCGAAGATTCAGATATTCGAAGCTCCATCAAAGCAATTTCGAAGCTCCATCGAAGCTCCAGATCGAACCGATTTCGAAGCTCCATCGAAGCTCCAGATCTGAACTCTAACCCCTCGATTACTCGCATTTCAAGCTTAAATCGGTACTCTCTCTCTCTCTCTCTCTCTCTCTCTCTCTACATGAAGCTAATATAAACATGATGGAAAATTTAGAGTTATATTTTATGCCTCTGTTTCTGTGTGCTGCTCTGTTCTGCTGTATATGTGCCTCTGTATCTATGTGCATAGTGAAAATAATGAAAAGGAACCATTATCTGTAACTGTTCCTGCGAGACGGTTGTTTGATAGATCCCTGCATAACAATGCAATACAAGAACGTCACATGTGAGAGAGAGGGGGAAGGGGGGGGGGAAGTTCCACATAAAAAAATAATGAGACAACTTGGTACTCACAATACTTGCAGTGATGAGATATTAGTCAATGACATATGAACTTTGATCTTCGATTCATGAATTTTGGGAATTAAATTTTGGAGAGTAGCATGGTTTCTTTATTAAATATTCATGCCCCTTGAGAAGGGAACATTTGTCTAGTTCCCTTCATGGTTCATTTCTTTCAACTGAAGGGATCTCTCCAATTGCTGAAATTAGTCTGGAGGTACCAAATAAATGTATTTCAAGCTGAATCATGAAATAATATTTCATACATGAACTAATTTTTGAGCATGGAAATTGTATCATGTATGGATATCCACCAATATAAGCATGTTCTCCCCTAGTAAATATAGTCATCTTCCCCCACAAAACTTGACTTTGACAGTGGTAGAGGCTAGTGATATCATCTGTACGAGGGATTTTGATTTGTGATGCAGATTTTCTTTTGTATGATTGTGCAGCTTGTTTTCTAAATCTTATATTTGAAGCATGCCAAAGTTACATTTGAAGTAATAGTGGGCTAATAAAAGCTTCAATTTCTACCACATAGGTTTTGAAGTACACAGAAGGCCTGTGTTGGGTAATGCACTATTACTATGAAGGAGTTTGTTCCTGGCAGTGGTAATTTTTTCTTCTTTACTTTGGGCAATATTCATATTCTTGAATGCATTTGTGTGTGTGTGTTTATGTCTATCAATGTATCTGTCTATCCCTGTGGATTCATGAAGAGAATACTAGTGTATTTAGCCTTGTCCATGTAGTACATCTATATATAATATATATATTCACAAATTATATTAAACATTTATAATTAAGGCATGTATGGTGGCACTCGTTTAAAGGATGTGTTATGTGTAGACACATCTAATTGAGAATGTGTGTTTTGCACTGAGCTCAAATTATTGCACATGGCTCTCAATTGTTAATTTAAATGGTAATCTTCACACAATGGGGTGTCTTCACCCATGAATTTAAAATAGATACCTTTCGGTATTCGTATGTTCTATTCGACAGCACGAATAAGTTGTTAAGCATTTTTTGTGTTCTATGATCCAAGTCTCATGATTCATGGGCAGGTCTATATATACGAGTTTGTTCTGCTTGAAAAACAACTGCTTTATAACATTGGAAGGCAGATAAAAAATGCTCTAAGAGATTGAATGCTCTTGGTGGTGGTGGTGGTGGTGATGGTAGTGGTGGTGGTGATGGAAATTTAGTGATGATGCTTTCATGTGCTCTTAGTATTTGTAAAATAGTGTTGGTGGAGAAGCAATATAACTGGGTAAGTACTTTCAGTAGAAACAGTATTTGTGTCATATGTTCAATAAAACTACCAATTTATGGGTGTCATGATTGTATTAGAATTCTAATCTACAAAGATACATAGTTCTATTGATCAGACTTACCAACCTTAATTAACTACTTCATGGCAGTTGCTTTGCATTTGGTGGAACCCAAGTTCAAGTTGGAAGTTGGAACAACTAAAAATGAGAATATAACATAACATTGAGAAAGTACGAGAAAAAATGCGAAAATTGAGTAAACAAATCATTCATGCATTTTCAGCAGCAAAAACGTTTCCTTATGTCTTGGAGGGTTTGCGTTCCAGAAACAATCGAACCCGGATTGAGTGTGTGGATCTTGTTGGATTTTTAATTGATAACCATGGAGCAGAGGTAAAATATTGAATGCTATTTGATCTTTTTTCTTCTTTGAAAGGTACTAAGTCTTCTATAATTTGCCTACAGATTGTGGGACAGTTGAAATCCTTGCAGCTTGTTGCAAGCCTAACAGCAGAACGAGATGGTGACATTCGGAAGGCTGCTTTAAATACTCTAGCTACAGGTTATAAGATCTTTGGTGAGTTCTGCTCTTATCAAGTTGTAGACTTTATTTGGTGTTTGGTTTCTTGGAATACACAAGGGCTTGAAGTTTTGTCAGGCCCGAGACATGGACAAAAGGAATGAAGGAAAACCTGGAGAAGCAAGGGCTGTTTTTAGGCGTTCTGTTAGGGAAAATGGGTGTCTCTCTAAATTTTATACTAAACACCTTCTGTATTAATTTTACAACTTTAAAAATGAAAATACTAATGAAAATGAAAGATGATATAGTATATTATGGATAATGATTTATAAGTGATAGGGTTTATATAGATATATAGACATATATATAAGAGATAAGAAATAAAAATGAATGTTCACGGTAATATTTGATGTTTTAGTCTTATTTTAGAATTAAATAAGACAAGTTTGATTTTAGTGCTTCTCCAATATCAATAGTTATATTTTGCTGGGACCAATAACAATATATTTCCTAATTTAGTAGCTTTTTTTATTCTTAGATGATTGATTGAAGTAATTAATTGAAACATTAAACTGCAAACTCTAGAATTCAGCAATTCAAACAACGTCATGGTCAGCGGGTTAACATCGCTGAATAGTATGCTAAGAAATTATGTTTGTTTTTGATTTCAGAATCAGTTTTCTGGAAAATTTTCAAAACAACTAAAATCTAATTTGGTGAAACAAATGAACAAATAGTGCATCAGTTCTGCTCTTAGAAAGTTCTGCTCTTAGAAATGCATCAGTTCTGCTCTTAGAAAGTTCAAGTTTGATTTTAGTGCTTCTCCAATATCAATAGTTAAAGTATGCTAAGAAATTATGTTTGTTTTTGATTTCAGAATCAGTTTTCTGGAAAATTTTCAAAAAAACTAAAATCTAATTTGGTGAAACAAATGAACAAATACAAAAACTCATCATTCTTGTGATTTTATCTTTTTTGTGGTAGGAAATATTTTTTTAAAATTTGAAAATATGTTTTTGGTGGTTATTTTTTATTCTAAAAACATAATTATCTCTGCTGAAACTGTAATTTGTCCATTGATAAAGGTCAGAGATGGCATTGAAATGGTTCAGTACATGTTGGGTCATTCTGTTATTTTGCTACGTTTCTAGGTGCTGGTGCAGTGGAATATATCATTTGTCATGCTGAGATTTCACTTACCTTTGCAGAATTTTAAGATTCTCATATATATTCACTTTGGTTACACACCTGGTGGCAACTAAGTCCCAAACTCTTTTTTGTTTTATAAAGTGTCTATTTACTTCAATGCCCTTCTTGACACACGATTTTCAAGGAAAAGAAAATTTCATTTATGCCCTTCTTGTTTGTTTCTGAATGCTATATTTATTTCATGCATTTCAATAGGAAATCTCTAAAGCATTTGGGAGGTTTACTAATGCTGCGCAAGAAGCTCTCTATCGGCTATTTATTCAGGTATGTATTTTGTTTCTTGACTTTTATTGCGTTTTTGATATTTTTTGAGTCTTTTCAGATGTCTAATTTAATACTTTATGTTATCATCTTGTCAATGTTATAGGTTTTGTTGGTGAGCTGCATCCTGACAAGAACAGTGATAACAAGAAGCATGTGCTTTACATACATAAAAACATTATTGTAAAATACAAGGATCAGGTCCTTTGCTTATGAATCATTTGATTTTTTGGTTGAGAATTGTAAATTCAATTTTTGAATATGTTATTTTGTGAGTAATGTTAAAACATCATTTGTGGATATGTTATTTTATGGGTAATGAGGTAATGATGATTGGATATTAAATTGAATGGAAAAGTGAATCAATGTTACATTTACTATTTGAATGGAAGTTATTATTTCATATTAGTGCTATTCAATTTTATTAAAGGTATTTTTTTAGTTCAATCACATAAAATTAGTACAATTTTTATAATTAAAAAAAAAAAGAGGATATCACGGCGTTTTGAGAAATGCCACCTAAACTTTAAATCTAACGGCCAGTTTTTAAAAAAAGATAAGACAGCGTTTTGAAAACGTCGCTAAATCATAGTGATGTCATAATACTGATAGTGTAGGACATTTTGTGGCGTTTTTAAAAATGCCGCCTATACTAAATATAGCGACGCTTTTAAAGCGTCATAAAGTTATGGCGACGGCCGCATCTTCGACGTTTGGTACTAAACGCCACAAAAATAATTAGCGACGTTTTTAATAGCTATAGCTACATTTTTAAAACGCCACTAAAAACCTAATTTCTAGCAGTGTTTATAAGAAGGGACAAGCACACTTGGGGATACAAGGAAAAAATCAACTTTTAAATTGTTTGTAAACAACTGAAAAAAGTTAAATGTCCCATCAACGCTATTGCAAAGGTCAAAAGTCAATCAAAACAAACTCCAAATGCCCATTTATAATATTCGAAAAGAAAAATAAAAAAAGAAGGTGAAATGTGAATAAAATATATGTATATTTCACCTGATTTTACACATTTTTTTTTTCTCTTCGACATCTCTCCTCAAATTCTTCAACCAAATACGACGTTAAACTTCCGTTCAGACTACACAAAGGGATTAGAAAGCAACTCCCTTGTGTCTCCTTGGATATAATTGAATGTCAGTCTCATTGAGCATTGTTGACGGAGTAAATATATGTTTTTTATATTTCTCTAGACATCACAACCTCTACCCAACAAAAGTAAAAAAACAAAAAACAAAAAAAACAGTCAAGTATTATACCCTTTACTCTTTCAAAGCTAGGCAAGCATAAAGATCAAACAAGCTACAAGATATAGAGGCATAACATCTATTGTACTCGGCTCTTTCTAACCATGTGAGGAGAATTGCATCATTCTTCAGGAGGAGGTTTGAGTCATGACGGCAGAGACCATTGTGTTCATTCCGCACATGCCATGACCTTGGCAAAGGTGGTAGTAACCGTGCTCTCCCCATTTATTTCCCCATGAGTTCTTGATGATCCAATATGGTCTATAGCCAAACCTAAGAATAGAGAAACCTTTCGAACCGTACCCTACAAGCAACACGCCGTGGTTGATCCTTCTCTTGCCACAAACAAGTGGACACGAGACCCCGCTGATGTATGTTTGCATGAAAATAGCATTCAATCCAACTGCATATATGTCAATAGTCAATGGTTCATTTTCCAAGCAATTTCATGGTATTATGAATTCTATTTCTCACGATTTAGCCAAAAAAAAGCAAAAAAACAAAAAGTTACTAGGGAACAAAAGGTTTTGGTTTTGTTTTTGTTTTTCGTATTTCATGTTTTATGTAACACAAAAACAATGAAATGTTCAAAACCATAAATCAATTTCACATTATTTTCTTCTTCTTTTTTGTGTGAAGAAAACAATGTTTGAAAATTTAGAAAATAATTTGGAAGTGTATTTCATAAAAAAGGTATACCTTAAAAAAAAAAAAATCTCTAAAATAGTTTTCCAAACAACACTACAACAAAAACATATTTTAGTGGCACTACACTAGTGGCATATTTTTAGAAAATGCCACAAAAAATGATATTTAGTGGCACGTTTTTGAAAAATGTCACAAAACGACAAACATAAAAGGCTCTAGTGACATTTCAATGAACAAGTGTCACAAAACTACAACAAAAACATACTTTAGTGACACTACACTAGTGGCATATTTTTAAAAAATGCCACAAAAATGATATTTAGTGGCACGTTTTGGAAAAATGCCACAAAACAACAAACATAAAAGGCTCTAGTGACATTTCAATGAACAAGTGTCACAACACTACAACAAAAATATATTTTAGTGACACCATACTAGTGGCATGTTCTTAAAAAATGTCACAAAAAGAATATTTGGTGGCATTTTTTAGAAAAATGTCATAGAGCCACAAACATACAAGGCTCTAGTGGCATTTCAATTAAAAAAAGTGGCACTTCACTACAACAAAAATGTCACTACAACAAATTTACACTTTAGTGACACTACACTAGTAGCATGTTTTTAGAAAATGTCACAAAAATAAAAATTGGCATTAAATGTTTAAGAAAAATGCCATAGAACCACAAAACATATAAGGCTCTAGTGGCATTTCAATTTTGAAATGTCACATCAATTTTATGACAATTTATAAAATAATGACACAAAAAATTATGTTCGTGATATTTACCAATAGATGCCACTAAACTTTAGTTGCAATGACATTTTTTAAAAAATGTCAGGACACTAGGTAGGTGCGAATTACTTTTTATGGCACTTAGATGAAAAGTGTCATAAAAAAATATTTTATAGCATTTTGAAAAATGCCACTAAGCCAAAAACTTTCCAAGCTTATAATGACATTTTTGAAAAAACAAAAAATGCCAATATATTTTATAAATTTTTAAAATGCAGTAAATGATTAAAAATAAATGAATTAAACTCAATACACACTACAGGAAAAAGCATATTCGGCGACTAAATTTCCTGACCAAAAAAATTTGGTCGTTGAAAGTATAGCTTTCAGCAACCAAAACAGCATTAGTTGCCAAAAGTAAAGCTTTTTGGCGACTAAACAATTTTACTAGCCAAAAGTCTACAATTGGCGACTAAAACTAAGTTTGATCGCTGATTATATGGGTTTTAGTGACTAAAAATTTTTTAGTAGCCCAAAGTAAAGTTTTTTGGCGACTAAAAAAATTTAGTAGCCAAAAGTCTACAATTGATGACTAAAAATAAGTTTGGTCACTGATTATATGGGTTTTACCAGCTAAAAAAATTTTAGTAGCCAAAAGTAAATTTTTTTGGTGCCAAAAAAAATTTTAGTAGCCAAAAGTCTACAATTGGCGACTAAAAAATAAGTTTAGTCGCCAAAAGTAGTCATTTTTAGCGCGGGAGAACTAAAATCCTTAGGTGGGAATAAAATGTTTTGGTGACCAAAATTTTGGTAGCTGAAAGTGCATCTTCGGCGACCAAATCCGATTTTGATCGACAAAAGTTAAGTTTTTTAGCAACTAAAAAATAATTAGTAGTCAAAAGTATAGAATTGGTGACTAAAAAATATTTTTAGTCGCCAAAAGTGGTCTTTTTTTATTTTGATAGTAAATAGTTTATTTTACATAAATTATGTTCAATAAAATAATTATGTTTATACATATACTTTTATATTAATATGGATGTATATACTATATAAATAATATATGTTGCATATATAATCATGTGGTGGTATAGAAGTGTAGTGGGAAGAGTGTGGTGTATAAGGTTTATGGTGCGGAAGGTTGGCAGTTCGAGTCTCCGTAAGAGCGGATCAAATTGTTCTATAACAAATTATCGTCATGAATGGCACTTGATAGCGTCACGAATAGTGCCTACCATGACATTAAAGTGTCACTGAAAGGTTTTAGTCTTGATGGTGTAATGATACTTACAAATGTCACTAACTCTTTTTTTAATGGCGCTTGATAGTGCTACAAATAATATCTACCATGACATTAAAATGTCATTGAAAGTTTTCAGCCATGATGGTGCAGTGGCACTTGCAAGTATCTACCGTGGCACCGATAGAAGTGGCACTTGTTCAAAATGCCACAAGACCAAAAAATGTCATTAGAAGAATAATTTTGTGGCACTTTCAAATGTTACTAAACTAAGAAAATGTTGTAGTGCAATTTTTTTGTATCATTTTCCGTTTATAATATTTTCAAGAACACAAAATACAAACAAAAAATGCCAAACATATATTTGCTAATGTCTCAAAAAGTAAAGAAACTACTCTTTCGTTTTAGTACAATTCTGTGCATCAGTTTTGGAAATAAAAACAAAGGTTCGAAAACTAGTAATTTAGAGCATATAGCTAACCCAAGTTCAAGATAAATGCTCAATAAGAAACAAAAATAAGGAATTTAACCTGGTAATTCTTTACGAAAATATAAACATACTTGCAAGAGGGCCGTGGTGGACTAGGTTTGCAGCTATTTGTTTCTCATATGTAGGGACATTGGTGAAATTCACAACTTTAACAGCTACTTTCTCTGGCTTGAATTTGCATTCACCTTTTTTTTTCCAGTATAAGGATATGAATCCTCTTCTTCCATGCCTCCCGCCTGTTGGAATAATCTTTTGTGTAAATAAAATAAATTAAAACAAAGTCAAATAAAATAAAATAAATTACTCACTGAATTTATTTATCGAACCGAATTAAAAATAAAAGACCAAGTCGAGTGTGTGACACTCTGTCCTTAAGACAGATTCGCCCTGCTACGGTGCTTACGGTTGAGTGGCGTCTATCTCCCAGGATATAATGATCTTCACAAATTGTAGTAGCACTCCAAACAATTTATTCGGCGAACCAAACCTGTATTCTAACTCTCTGAAAATTACCCTAAAATAATATGAAGAATAAAGGACGCAAGAGAGCAAAATGAAGGCAATGAAAATAAATTTTTGAAAATCAATCAAAATTGGAATGGGGTTGACTTTATATAGGCTTTGTTGGCACCTATTCAATTTGAATAGAAAAGGTATGAAGAAGGGACATACCCCTTCCTTTAAAATAAAGAGACACTATGAAAGGTTTGCACCCTTTCATTCAAATAGAGGTTTGACCCTTCCTTTAAAATAAAAAGACACCATGAAAGGTTACACCCTTTTATTCAAAATGGAGTCTATTTCAATTCACAACTATCTCTTTATAAATTTTCCAACAATCCCCCACATGAATAAAATTGACAGAGAGAAAATGCAACAACATGATATAAATACAGAGAGTACAGAAATTGAAAATATTCTGCAAAGGATATGTAGCTTTTGGCTTTGAACCTTCCCTTGTGAGACACTGTCGGATTTACTAGCTAACCAGTGAATATGATGTCTTGAACTGTTCAGCCGTTTGTGTAAACCAAGACAATAGAACCTACACAGTATATCTCCAGACACAGTTTAGTTCTCACTATTGTGTTCATTTTGGCCCTGACCAACCTGGTCTTTCATGAGTACTCTAGAGAATTGTAGCCCTTCACAAATCTTATAGAACCGGCCCAGTTCACACTCACATAGGTGATTCTTATGAAAAGTATCCTGCCATACTCCACTAGGTTTACCTAGATATAAGAATCATTAAAAGTATTACTTAACTTAAATCGTTGCAGACATCACTTATTTCATCATAGAAATGGGTAGGAGTTGGACTCCATAGTGATCCTTTTGAGTCAATCACAACTCGGTTGTCCCTTTGAACCTAGATCTTGGAATCTCCAGTCAACTAGGTTGGGTTGCCGTTGTAGTAACTCTTATTTAATAGGCTTAAGTCTCGTTCCCCTCGATGAATTCTCGACTAACTCTTTTGCTAACCCTTTGGTTAGTGGATCCGGTATGTTGTCTTTAGACTTCACATATTCAATGAAAATAATTCCATTAGAGAGTAGTTGTCTCACGGTGTTATGTCGACGACGAATGTGTCGTGACTTACCGTTATACATATGACTCTGTGCTCTACCTATAGCTGATTGACTATCGCAATATATGTATATAGCAGGCACCGGTTTTAGCCAAATTGGAATATCTTCAAGGAAGTGGCGAAACCATTCTGCCTCTTCCCCTGCTTTGTCTAAAGCTATGAATTCAGATTCCATAGTAGACCTAGCAATACAAGTCTGTTTGGAAGATTTCCAAGATACAGCCGCTCCACCAAGAGTAAAGACATACCCACTAGTGGACTTTGAGTCTCTTGTATCCGATATCCAATTTGCATCACAGTATCTTTCAAATACTGCTGGATATCTAGTATAATTAAGCCCAATGCTATGAGTAAATCAAAGATATCTAAGAACCCTTATAATTGCTTTCCAGTGTTTTACTCCCGAATTACTCGTATATCTACTTAATTTACTTACTGCATAAGCTATATCTGGGCGAGTGCAGTTCATCAAGTACATTAAGCTTCCAATAATTTGGGTATACTCTAATTGAGAAATACTTTCCTGTACATTCTTAGAAAGATACAAATTAACATCTACAGGAGTTCTAGCAAGATGATCATCATCTTTACTGAATTTGTCAAGTATTTTCTCAATGTAATGAGATTGTGACAAAGCATATCCTTCTGATGTTTTGGTAGTTTTTATACCAAGTATTACATCAGCAATGCCCATATCCTTCGTGTCAAAATGTTTATTCAGCATTTTCTTAGTAGTTTTAATCATGTCATTATTACTACCAATGATGAGCATATCATCTACATAAAGACATACAAAGACATACAAAGACATAACCTTTATCTGTATTTTTAATATAAACACATTTGTCACACTCATTAATTTTAAATCCATTTGACATCATTGCCTTGTCAAATTTCTCATGTCATTGCTTTGGTGCTTGTTTCAAACCATATAATGATTTAACCAATTTGCACACTTTCTTTTCTTTCCCTGGAACAGAAAAACCTTCTGGTTGTTCCATGTAAATTTTTTCATTTAACTCACCATTTAAGAAAACGATTTTCACATCCATTTGATGAATTTCTAAATTATATAGAGATGCAATGACAATTAGCATTCTAATAGATGTTATTCTAGTAACCGGTGAGTATGTGTCAAAATAGTCTAGACCTTCTTTTTGTCTAAATCCTTTGACCACAAGTCTTGCCTTGTATTTGTCAATTGATCCATCTGCTTTCATTTTCCTTTTGAAAATTCACTTGTACCCAAGAGGTTTACAACCTGGTGGCAAATCCACCAATTCCCAAGTGTGATTTTGCAAGATGGATTCAACTTCACTGCTGACAGCTTCTTTTCATAAAGGAGCTTCAGGACTGGACATAACCTCTTTAAAAGTTAAAAGCTCATTTTCTAACAAAAATGTTAGAAAATCTGGACCAAAAGATTTTGAGGTTCTAGCACGTTTACTACGCCTAAGTTCCTCTACCTCATTTTAATCTAACTCTTGTTCTTGATCATGTTCTTGATCCTGACTAGTAATAGCATGTTCAAAGAACGATGCATTCCGAGATTCAATAATAGTATTTACATGCATTTCGGAATGTTCTGATTTATGAATCAAAAACCGATATGCACTACTATTCTTGGCATAACCAATGAAAATGCAATCAATGGTCTTAGGACCTATCTTAGTCTTTTTAGGACTAGGAATAGCCACTTTGGCCAAACACCCCCACACTTTTAAGTATTTGTAGGATGGTACTCTACCATGCCACATTTCATAAAGTGTTTGATTCACTTTCTTTCGGGGTACTTTATTTAAAATATAATTAGCAGAAAATATTGCTTCCCCCCACAAATTCTGAGGTAATCCAGAACTGATTAACATGGCACTCATCATTTCTTTTAAAGTCTTATTTTTTCCTTTCAGCAATTCCATTTTGCTGAGGTGAGTAAGGAGCGGTGGTTTGATGAATTATTCCATGTTCTTTACAAAACTCACCAAAAGGTGATTCATATTCACCACCTCTATCACTTCTAAGTTTCTTGATTTTCTTACCAAGTTGATTTTCAACTTCATTCTTATATTGAATGAAAGTTTCCAAAGCTTCATCATTGGCTCGAATTAAATAAACATAACTATATCTAGTATAGTCATCTATAAAAGTGATAAAATAATTTTTCCCACCTCTAGTTTGAATTGATTTAAAATCACAAATATCACTATGAATCAATTCAAGTGGTTCCGTACTTCTTTTAATTGAATGAAAAGGAGTTTTAGATAATTTTGCCTCAACGCAAATTTTACATTTATGATTTGAATCAATATTAAATTTAGGTAAACATTCCATATTAATTAATCTTTACAAAGATCGATAATTAACATGTCCTAGTCTACCATGCCATAAATTTGAAAACTCAAGCAAGTAAAAAGAAGATGTAGTATTATTAATAACTGAGGGTATAACGGTCATTACATTTAACTTGAAAAGGCCATCAGACATGTAACCTTTTCCTACATACATCCCATTCTTAGTAAGTACCAATTGATCACTCTCAAATACTAGCCTAAACTCATTTTTACTCAACAAAGATCCGGAGATAAGATTCTTGCAAATGTCCGGTACATGCAGCATATTGTTGAGAATGAGTTCCTTTCCAGATGTCATATTGAGTACAATCTTTCCTTGTCCTTCAACTTTGGAAGTTGAGGAGTTACCTGTAAAAAGTTGTTCACCATTGTCCACTGAAGAATAAGATGTGAACATCTTTTTGTCGGCACAAATATGGCAAGTAGCACCAGTGTTCACCCGCCATTCTTTAAGATTTCCGACAAGATTTACCTCGGAAACAACTGCAGAAAGATTAATATCATCTATACCATTGGAAATATTGTTCACTTCAATCGTGTGGGCTTGAGCAGGCTTCTTGCTTGTTCTTCTTTTGCTTTTGCCTTTGCGACGGCAATCTTTGGCCCGATGTCCCTCTTTGTCACAGATGTAACATTTGCCATTAAACTTGTACTTTTTATTATCCCCTCCTTTAGAGCCTTGTGATGAACTTTCTCCAGAAGACTTTCGGTTCTTGGTTTTTGAAACATGTTCGACCACATTTGCCTTAGACTCCATAAGATGCTTACCAGCCCGCTTTTCAGAATTGCGGTTGTCCTCCTCAATTCTCAAACGCACAATTAATTCGTCTATAGAAATTTCTTTGCGCTTGTGCTTGAGGTAGTTCTTGAACTCCTTCCAACCTTTTGGTAATTTTTCAATTAAGGCTGCAACTTGGAAGGATTCACTGAGAGACATGTCTTCTGCGTGAATGTCATGCAAAATAAGTTGGTAATCTTGAGCTTGGCTGATCACAGTTTTTGAATCAACCATTACAAAATCCAAGAATCTGCCAACCACAAATTTCTTTGAGCCGGCATCTGCCGTTTTTTACTTTTTCTCCAACGATTCCCAAAGTTCCTTTGCTGTCTTGATTGGACTATAGACGTTGTATAATGTGTTGTCAAGGTTGTCCAAGACGTAATTCCGGCAAAGGAAATCGGCATGTTTTCAAGCATCAACCGCAGCAACCACTTGCCTATCGGTTTCATCTTCTTTCAGGATAGGAGCATCTTCACGGAGGAAACGAGCCAGGTTTAGAGTTGTAAGATAGAATAA